TTGTGATTGTCGACAAGCACGTATTTTTCTGGTTGTTCTTTTAAAAACATTTTAATATTTGATGGATTATATTTAATATTAGTCGATGAGCATTGACCAAGAGATGAAGAAATGATTGAAGATGAACGATCAGTATTCGACGAAGCTGTACTATCAAGTGATTCATCAGGAGATAAATCATGTAATTCGATCATAGTAATTGACAAACAAAAAATTCAAATATTAATTCTAAATATAAAATAAGTTTTAGTTCAGTTATTCACTTAATATAAATTAATAGTGAAAGCTGTGTATGACGGACTAGCGTTTTTAATAGAAATCTGAAACCAAGTATATGTAGGTACTTCGTTTCAGTTGGCAAAATATCCGTTGGTACTTTGTTATTTAAAACAAAGTACCTCAAGGTGCCATAGTAATAAACTGATTTAGGAAAGACAAAAACGAAGCTATTATCATTCAATCTTTTAATGAAAAATATGTTCCTATACAAAAAACCAATGTAGAAAAATAGATCTTATCGAAATTTATTATTATAATATTAGTTGAAGTATGACCAAATAGCATAGAAAAATAGAGCATTCTTTTCTCTTGACGACAATATTGAGAGAAAGTTTCTTAAAGCTCTTTATAAGGAACTACAGTGTCACTATTATCACTTTTTGACGGCCCTATGTAATATCTGGTTCGATTTAATCAACTACGACTATTACTTTTTCTTGATATGAACCATTATTATTATTCAATAAATGAAATTAATCATATAAATTGTCTTCATATTGAGAATTTTCTACGCTGGTTTTGAATGGTGTTATACAAAATGATTTATCAATATTTGTTTGTTCCATCATAAATATGATTCTATACGCAAAATTAGAAAAAAAATTGTATTGATGCTACTTACATAATCGTTTTTAATATATAAAATAAATCAATTGTTTTAATAAATATAGATTGAAATACGTACTAAATAATAAATATAGATTAAAAAATACTAAATAATAAAATAAATTGAATAGATACCAAATAATAAATCTATATACCAAATAATAAATCTATATACCAAATAATAAATCTATATACCAAATAATAAATATTTATACCAAATAATAAATATATATACCAAATAATAAATATATATATACGAAATAATAAATATATATACCAAATAATAAATATATATATACCAAATAATAAATATATATATACGAAATAATAAATATATATACCAAATAATAAATATATATATACCAAATAATAAATATATATACCAAATAATAAATATATATATACCAAATAATAAATATATATATCAAATAAAGACTATAATAATATATATTGAGTAAGCACCAAATAACAAATATAGATTGACTAAATGCTAAATAATCAATAGTATACGATTTAAGAATAAAACAAAAATATCTATAAAAGAGAAGATCCAAAATCTGAAAAAAAAACAAGAAATTTCACTTATGAATTTAATAGGACTAGAAAAATAATATACTGTTCAGCTTCATCGACAATTAGAATATATAAGCAAGGGAAAAACGAGAAACTTTTATATAATGACATAATAAATAAGTAAAGTGCTGGCACTGTGACGGACGATAAAGAAAGAAAGAAACAAATAGCAGACAAGCTTGTATATAATAGGATGAAAGCAATGAACCAATCAATATGTATTTTTGTACTACATACTTACACTAACGACATCTCTTGATAAGTTTGACAATTCTTCATCACACCCGAAAAAAAATGTTTACCCGCCCGAACCCGTGTATTTCATACCCGCCCCGCCCGAGACCCGCATTATTTAAAGAAATTATTCCCCGCCCCGCCCGCCCGTGGGTCGGGCAATACCCGCGCCCCGTTAAACCCGCATTTCATTACATTTTTCTTCCCCGCCCGCCCGTCGCCACGTGGCCCCGCGGGGCCCGCGGGGTGAACCCCGTGGACCGTGCATCTCTGGTTTGTATGATTTCGTAAGATCATACAATATGAATCTTACAACATCCGATATCAGTAAGATCTTGTAAGATCTTATATGATCTGCGTATGATTTTTTCACCTGGGAATGAAAAACGAAAAATTTCTGGAAACAGCAAATGTATGTACTGTAATTTAACCTAAAAATCATTAGTTTTTTATATGATTTAGATGCTATTGGACATGATGAAAAAAATTCCTAGTACAAATACAAATGAATTAGTAACGTGTATCAAGTACCAAATGACTGCTTTATACTAAGAAAAACGGTTCGAAAGTAAGAAAATAGAATTTAAAAAGTAGAGCAGTAACTTGAATCAATTTTATGTAGAAACCCAGGTCAAACAAACACGGTCGTAAACGATCGTATACGGAGACATACGACCATTTACATGAGGCCGTATTACGATGGTATATCTCCGTGACCATATACGGAGAAAAACACGCTCGTATGCTGTCTTCGTATACAAATATTCCATTATTCGAATATAGTTTCATTATTTTTTGGGAATGATTAATTCGAATTAATCAACAAGAAGTGCTGGCTAGATTGGAAAATATTTTCATAAAATATAATATTTTTTAAATATATCATTAAATCAAAATGGGAATTGATAAATAAATTTCTTTCTGATTAATATGAAAATTTGAAATTCCTGTTATTGAGTTTTCTTTCCTTTATATCAATAGTTATATCATTTAGAGATTGATTAGATTATTTTAAGTAATAAAGAATATGTTTTTGTAGATGATTATCAACTATGAATTCTTCTGCATATAGAGAAATAATATTTGAAATAATAATTATGGAAGGAAATATTGAAATATTTTTATGTATAAATCCATATAAACACTATTTTATTGTCTCTTCTTGGTAATTCTTTATAGATAAATGTTTGAGAAAAAAAGATTTTATTAAAAATTAATTTCACTGAACTAGTAGAAATCTATCTATAAAAAGCAAAGATTTTTCGAGTCTACTCTTAAAATTTATAACTAAAGTTTAGTAATAACTAAGATAAATAAATGATTTATTTATCTTCAATATTTAGAATATATATTCTCAATTTCTTTTAGAAAAATCTTGAATGGGAAAATAATTTGCTATAGATATATAATATATTCATTTATTTAAATATAGATTTTATTATAAATATTTTCTTGTTATTTTATAATTATTTATTGTTAATCTAACATATGATACAAAAGTCATGAAACAATGGTCGAGCCCTATTTTTCATCGACAAAAACGGTACTCACCGAAAATTGTTTTCCATAGAATATAAAGCATTTTCTCCTCTTTCCAATCATGTGTAACTTATTGATAAATGAAACGATTAAACAATAAAAGAGAAGTATTCTTGAAAACAATGCACCGTACTTTTCGTCAGATTCATAAAAATGGCACAAAAATCTTATTCTCTAGAATTCTTTGACAAACAAGTTTTCAAGCGAATATTTTTTGTTAATTAGTTTATAAGAAATAATCTTCATTTTCGAAACATTGTATCATTGATAATTGTCAAACATTTGTCAATGAAACATGACGAGAAGAAGAAGCATTAATACAATCAATTCATAATTTTGAAAGATTTCATAAAAGTCAAAGTAACTATCGTTTTACAAGATCTTCTGAATGAATTCATAAGAAATCATATTAATTGTTGCCTAACAAGATGCTCTTAACGAATTATACAAAAACTATAAAATTATTATGAGAGTGTTTCTCTTCTTTTAGAGTGTGACGAGACAGTTCGAATAATAATTTTTTATTTAGTGTAATATGCATAGGTTCAGTGACTTTTTTTTTCATTAATTATAGAAAAAACAACATGTTTTTACTATGATTAGTTTTTACTAATTAATGTTTAACATAAATGAATACATTCTTTTCTATGATGAAGTTTATTAGTGAATTAATAGAAAATATTTGATGAAATATTAGTTTAATTGTTATTTTCTTGTTGACAAATACAAATAATGTACGTTAGATTTTTTCTCATGTAAATAAATCGAAGAATAATGGTTCACATTTATTCCTAAAGATTTTATATTATTTTTATTAAAAAAGTTCTCATATCAAACAAACCCAATTTTTATCTGTTTGCTTCAAAATCTTTACTCAACAACCTATAAACGACTAAAAAATTTGTAATTAAAACTGTAAAAAAAAAAAAGTTACGGATCAATTGAGAAGAATCACAAAATTAACATATCGATGAATTTACTTTGAAAAGACTTGGTAATTTTCATAAAATGATTCAACAGTCAAAAATGATTGTCAAGATAATCTATTGATTAAATAATTAATGCAACAAAAAAAAACATTTTTATTTGAAACCTACAAATCAGTTTGTATTTTATTCCATTGTCATAGAAATTAAAGAAATAATAAAAAAATCAGCAAAAAGGTCTTATGGCGAGAGTAACCATTATGTTATATATACTGGTGTTTTTTTTTTCTTTCAGATAAGATGACTGACATTTGAAAACAATGTTATCATATACAGGCAAATAAATAACGACAATGAAACACAATCAATTTAGTCCATAAAAGAAAAAGTTATTGAAAAAAAAAGAATATGTTTTTCAATGAAGAGAATTTTTCTTTCTAATTATAACAAATCCAAATGAGAAAGATTTTCGTGAGAAAAGATTCACCTTGACTTTCAACGTACATCTCCACAGTAATAAACATTAACAAGTTGGAAATTTTATTTTATCAACATATAAAGAAAACGAAACTGAAATAAATAAAAGTAATTATTTAAATATTAGTTGTTAGCATAATCAATGCTGATTTATTTCTTAGTTGAACAATCATTTCATACTCATCTTACTGATTTGTTGCTGATATTAAAAAAAGTTCTAAGAATTGTCTATCTTTATTTTGAGATAAACTTTTTTCTTTTCTTGCTGTTTTTTTTTTATTAACTTCTATTGTATATCTATTTTATCATGAAAACGTGTGAAAAGACACATTCGTTTTGTTTTATTCTTCATATCAACGGATAACTATGTCAACGACGACCTTCGCAAAGTCTGTTGATAAAAGTATAGACTCTTATCTTTTTAAATCAAAAATTAGAAAGGTTTGCCTTTCTTTTTCAATGATTTCATTCGATAATATATTAACTGTGATTTGTTTAGTATGTTCTGTTGACATCTCTCTTCTTATTGGGTGCTCTAGTTGTATTAATTCCATGTTTAATTGTCTGGTCACATAAAAAAGATAATTGTTCGACTCCTAGTCCAACACCAGGACCTTCACCATGGAATGCAAGCGATTATCAATCAAATAGTGATTATTATAAAAACTTGAATGACTCTCACATATTCACACAAGAAGATAATCTTCGTTTGGATCGATTATCATCACCAAGATATTGTCCTGGTGATGGTTCCAAAGTTATTTATCTAAGAAAACAATATCATATGCCTGATTTAAATGGATCATCAACAACATTACATTTCGTTGATATAAAGATTCCTCTTGCTCCAAAAACCGTTCAGTTAACACGACCAATATGGGGAATTAATGATCAACAAGTAAGAGTCAACAGAATAATATTATTGTACATATATATATATAGTTAGATATATTTTTAAAAGTTTTATTGGATAGACAAACGAACTATTCTATTTCTATCAAATCGAGGCTCATCCCGTCTTAATCAAATATTTCAATTGAATCTTCCTGATGATCCATTAAACATAAAAGATTTCATTGAACCAATTCAAATAACTAATTATTCATTGAATATTGATAATCTTATTGTTAATCAGCAAGCTTCTCGTCTAGCATTTAGTTGTCAAGTCTATGCGAATTTATCAATCGAAGATACAGCCATTCAACAAAACACTGAACAGACAAGTGGTTCTCGCGTTTATAAATTTGATAAGTTATTCATTCGTCATTGGGATGAATATATGTTAGGTCGACGTCATCATCCATTTGTTGTCTCAATTGAACGAGATAAAAAAGGAACATTCAAATTTGCTTCAATACCTAAAGATGTTCTTTTCGGTATTGATAGTGATTCACCAACACGTCCATTTGGTGATGCTAAATCACAATGGTCATTTAGTGCTAGTGGAAATTCATTTGCTTTCACTCGACAACATGATGAAACAAGTGAAGTTGCTTGGTCAACTAATTTAGATATATATACTGTTGATTTAATTAAAGAAAACATGTCTAGTATTTGCATAACATGTTTTAATTTAGCTGCAGATACCGATCCAAAATATTCACCTATCGACGAAAACATTTTGGTCTATCGATCACAATCAGTACCAGGATATGAATCGGATCAGTTCAAAGTGAAATTATATGATGGTAAACATTGAAATTTTCATCGAATATTTGTTGAATTATTTTCTTTTGTGTTTAGGTACAATAACGAAAACATTATTTGATCAATGGGATCAAAGCATTCAAGTAATAACATGGTCAAAAAATGGTCAATCACTTTTTCTCGAACTGGGTGAAAATGGAGAACATGTTATTTATCAATCAGTCAACATTTTCAATCCTAATGAAACTGTTTTTCATCGTGTTGCTAGTGGTGGAACTTGGCATGATGTTAATCTTCATCCAACCAATAGTGAAATATTTCTTGCTACTTATGACGATTTTCATCAACCAACGAATATTGTTTTACATACACAAGACGGCAAAACTCCAATAACAAAACACAACGATTGGTTAATCCTCAGAACTGAGTTTAGTTTTGGTGCCTATGAACAATTTGAATTTTTAGGAGCACGAAATGAAACTGTTTCAGGATGGTATTTATCACCAAGAAATATGTCTTCAGATAAAGTACCTCTCGCTTTTTTAATTCATGGTGGTCCACAAAATAGTTGGTATAATACATGGGGTCGAGGATGGAATTTTCAAGTGTATGCTGCACAAGGATATGCTGTTATTGGCATTAATTTTCATGGATCAGATTCCTATGGACAAAATTTTACTGATAGTATCACAAGTGAATACGGTACATTACCTTTTGAAGATCTTCAATTAGGACTTACAGCTGTTTTAAAACGATATTCATATATTGATAAAAATCGTGCAGTTGCATTGGGTGCTAGTTATGGAGGATTTATGATCAATTGGATAGCTGGACATCCAGAAATGAGTCAACGTTTTCGAGCTCTTGTTTGTCATGATGGTCTATTTGATATGAGAGAAATGGGCTATGCTACTGAAGAATTATGGTTCTCCGAACATGATTCTGGTGGTTTTACTCCATATGAAAATCCACAAGCTTATGAAAAATTTAATCCAGTTAATCATGTTGCTAACTGGACTCAACCAATGTTGATTATTCATGGTGGACTTGATTATCGTGTTCCTGATACACAAGGCATTGGTGCATTTACAGCTTTGCAACGACGTGGAATTCCAAGTCGAATGCTTTACTTTCCAAATGAAAATCATTGGACATTAAATCCATTTAATTCAATTGTTTGGTATCGAGAAGTATTCGATTGGATGAAATTATGGACTCAATAATCGAATATGAACTTTTTTAAAGTTTTTACAAAATAAACATGACAGTTTTGATTAAAATCATTTCATTTTTGAAAGCTAATGAATAAACATAATACATAATCGAGCTAGTTACGATTTATTCGATTCTTTTCTTTTAATGTGACATTCTTCATATGCCTTATTGTTATTTTTTCTTCAGACAGTTGTTATATGATTCGTATGTCAATCATCATTGAGTTTCATGTTGAATTGGCAATGATCATTTCTAAGTTGATGAGGTCGCTTATTAGATAAGATAAACGAGAGCACATTATGTATACAATAATGATATATTATCGCATATACTTTAATCTTTATAATTCTAGTTCAGATTGTTAACCTAAAGAGCAGAATGCACTTCCTTACAATATAGAAACTGTTCATAGGTATGCTTTTTATCTTTGTAGATGAACATCATGAAAATATTGAACTTATGATAATTAATCAATCATCTACAGCGATTATCGAATAAATCGATATGCTTGTGTTGATTTAAATGATTAGTCGAAACGTCTTGTTCGTTTTGTTTGCATAGTTCCTTTTGATTTCAAAAAGTTAATAAAAGTAGCTATTCTCTAACATATTCTGAAATGACATATGTAGCAGAATCTGATGCCAAACATTTTCTCAAATTGTGGGTATGGGTCGGATGTTGGCGTCGGTATGGAATTGTTCTCTTTGATAACCACACTGACATCCTATAAGAATATTTCATGGTGATGCAGGCAATATAAATCGTTGAAGACTATTTTATTACAATTAAGCCACTTTAATCTTATACAATAGAATGCGTTGTAGTCTAATATGTCGACATAAAACATGAAACATCATAATCAAATGTTCTACTACGTTTTGTTAGATACACTTTAATTAAATGGATTTCAATAAGATTCACTACAGCACTACTAAAATATATTAAATAAGAACGACGAAATCAAAGATAAGCTACATTAGAGCAACGCCTAAAAACAGTATTTTCATCATTATAATTACTTCTTAGTTGTATCAACTCTATTTGATTTTAAGTGCTTATGACCTTGGCGAGGAACCTGAAGAGAAAAATAGAATAAGAAAAGTATTTGCTAGACGCAAAGATACTTACCAAATCATCAGAATCATCAAATCTAGGCTCTGCTTTTCTAAAAGATTTTCTGCCAATTGATACCTATAATATTAAACATTTGAGTTATTAAAAAACAATAATTTTTTTCTTTTGAATATAAGCAAGTGTTTGAACCAAACCATGCAACCGCAGGATGAGATACTCGTTTGGTGAAATTTTTTATCATGATTTGGACAATATAATTTCCATTCATTATCAAAATCAATAGTCGTTCCTGTTTTTAGCGTGTGCTGTACATTTAAAAAGTTCCTTAAACAAGTCATATTGTCTAATCGAGGAATATATCATGTGATGGCATGGAATCGAACTCAATAATCAGCTTCCTATTTTGATCAAATATCAGTATGTTCCAATGTTTGTTTTGATTGATTGGGTACAGTATAATGTCATATGAAAAGCATGCACATTTTAAGTTGTTTATTCTTCTACGAAGCATGTTTGACACTGTATAACTAGACACAGCCAACACATGGTTTTCTACTGTAGCAGTAGATGAAATGACATATAAAGACGAATTAATTATGATATCGTTAAGTAATCCTTCTATATTACAGAGACGAGTTATATCAGTAGCATTTAACACGAAAGGCCCCACGTCAAACTGTCGACTAAAAAATGAAAGTAAACCTTTTACAACGTCCACCACTATGTTATCTGATTCAGGTAATGAATCCAATTTTACTATGATCTATGAACACTTTTTGAAGACCAGTTAAAGTAAAAGCATTAGCGTCCGTTTCATATGCAAAAACTGTCCATTTCGAGGCCAAAACAGTTTGTTGAATCGGTATGTCGCGCAATAATTCAACTCCGGATGTGGGTATGGGGTATGGGTGTGGATATTGATTTTGCTTCAGTACCTACACCCACATTGACCCTTTCTTTATTTAAGATCAAAGTGCGTCATTTATTCTTTTCTAGATGATTGTATGGCAAGTTATAGGTTTGACATCAGGTTTCGATTTGGTAAAGGTGTAGGTGCGATTCTCAGTTCACTGCATCTCAAACTGACACCGAAACCGACATCCCACACTCACGCCCATCCTCACCCACACCATTTGGCTATACCCAGAATTTTGAGTATCTTTAGGGTGAACAGCCAACTGACCAAGTGTTGTAGAAGATTTGGCATCGACATAATGTATACATTTATTAATAGTATAAGAGAATTCAGTGTGATGAATAACACAGTAATGAGAAGAAGAATACTCGAGAACAATTAAAGCGTAAAATAAAACACAAAAACTCAATAGAAAAATAACGATTAATTTAGTCATAAGTTTAGATTATGCATTTAAAGCAGATAAACACATGAGAATAATCAACAACAATTTTCGAGACAATACAAACGAAAGCAAGCACATTTAAGTTAATGTTATATTAAAATTCAGTAAATAAATTTCAATTTCATGACAAAAAAGAACGAGATCTACACACAAAGAGTAAATAAACTATGTCTACTAGATGGAACTAAGACATATTCATCTTCGAAATAGTGTTTTCAGACTTCTTAAACTAAACTGTTATGATTTGTATTCTATTGAATAACCTGTTAGCTATCTTGAGCTTTACTGCGCAAATTATTGGTTATAAGACACTCTTAAGATGCATGAAGAAGTGATTTGCGAATTCTTTCTAAATACTTATTTCTCGTTGCCAACAGTTTCCAATTTTATGGCGAGTCGAATCATCTAATACTTTTAAAAAGGCATTGCCTTTTTTATTTTTCTCTAGGAATTTTAAGAAAGCATCTAAGTTTTCATCGTTACTAAATGCATCCTCGATCACATCACACCAGCGGCCAATTGTCAACGAGTTCCACGCTCGCTCATCTGCGTCAAGTAGAACGGTAGTTAAGAAGTCTTCCCACGTTTCTAGACCTGAGTCAAATTGTTGATTGAGTGTCTTCCTATCAATCGTAACTATCGATTTAACGCATATACTATAAGGATATTCACATGAATTATTCCCCCTTCTTACAGGTGGATTCCAACCTATAGCTAAAGTCCAAAGAAAACGTGTTGGGCTTTCACAATTTTCTTTGAAAAAATCTGTGCGACTGAAAATAAGAAACTTATTTTCGATTTCAATAATAGGAACTGCAATGTTATCAGAATCTTTAAAGTGTGTCTTATGTCATCAATATTCATTTATTTTTTCTAGTACTACAAAGGTGTGGGTGTGGGTGTGGTACACTCTACTCATCATCAAGCACCCACACCCAGCTTCACGGAAAGCAACGCACTTTATTCGATCGACGATTCTCTGTTGTTCATCGCCGTAAGTCCCAGCCATCGTACAGATTAAATGTATTCAATCAGCCTCAGCTAAATCACAAATCTACCATGGTGATCATTAAAAGGTACAAATGAAAGACACGATATTTACTTACATTCCAAGCAAAATCACTTCGTTCAAAGAGAGATCACGGTTTCCTTATGACTTTGATAGCGTATGGGAACAAAGAAAGTGAAAGAAACAGCAGAAAAAATAATTCGACTCGATACGATCGTGACTGACGACTATTTCTTCGTTCTTTTTGTAATAAAAATGCTATTCGCACGTGCTCACGGGAGAGACCGGAAATAAATGATAAAGGAATGAAAGAATCATTATCTTGGACATTCAAGCAATGTGTTTTGAAGTTATTGAGTAAATTCCCTATGAATTCTATGACGATATACATTCTCTTTTCTGCTGTATTACCTTCTATTGCAACGTCGATACAATCGTAACTCTCAAAATTCTGAAATTTTTCTTAGTTCTATCATTAGTCCCTCTCTTACAGAAAATCAAAATATACCCCTAAACCCCGTTTTGACGGGCTTTCATTTGGTATAAAATTCATTGTTCATATCACTAGTCGTTAGGGCTGTACCCCCTGGCAAAACATTTTTGGCAATCCTGTAGAGTTTATTTTATTCATTATAAAAGAAAACTTTCATCTTCTATGCGTGAAGATTTAAATTTGTATGAATTGATCAATGAAACAGCTGTATAGTTTGGTAGAGTTATACTTGTTGAAGATTTAGCAACATTAGCCGTAATGATAGAATTTTAGTTATATGATGCTTCTTCGTGCAACTCTTTTGAGTAGTTTATATCAAGTAATTCTCATCACTATTACTATTGGATAGAAGTCTAGATAAGAAGCATTAAAAAACCAACAATAAGCTATAAGTGTTTAGAATCGCCTTTTTCTAGGAGACGTCATTTTTTTCGATATTGTTTGACTTCACTATTTACTTTTCGACATGTTCCCATCAGACTGGATACTTCCTGGTTCTCTAACGGATTCAGAATGGAAACACTCAAGATTGTTACTAGATAAGCAAAGTAAGAACAAATTGATGTATAAATATTTTTGTTACCTGAACAGACAGAAACGTGCTATTTAAACAAACACAAGCGCACAAAGCATGGATCATGTCTACGTAGGTTACAGAAATTATTTGAAAGACATGACTCTTATGTACAAAACAAAGAATGTAATAAGATTAAAATAACAACAATTGTAAAACGAAACCCGATGAAGAGAAGATGTAGTGTGATCTCAATCGAAATGAAAGATTATCGTGATTTTGTTAAATAGTAAATGAGCAGAACGAGTATCCAACGACCGCAATACGTCCCATACACGACAATTACACGCAAACATCAAAGAGCTGCCTTTCGCTCATGACTTTCTCTATGAAAGCTCTGAAGAAATATAAGAAATAATCTCTGTATTCCTTAGGATTTATGTAAACTACCTCTAAACAGTTCATAATGAACTACCAGAAGCTCACTTTAATAGTTGTTAGACAGAAACGAGTACCAGCATTAGGTAGTATAAGACCATTTTTGGGCATCTCTACAATAAGCGTCACGAATGTTAATGAATACGCACTTTCTATCACCATTGAAAGTTTATCCATATCCCAATTATATAGTAGTCCTTGAACTATTGAAGCCTTTCCCTCTTATATAGCAATTGATGGCTTATGGATAGCACTGCTATATCATAGTGAATGACTTATGAATACGCTCTTTACATAGTATCACCTATAGATAGCCTCGATACACTACCCAGGGAGAGTTATGGATACTTTTATGAATGTTTATTGAGTTTTATAAATTTCTACGAAAAGTTTTATTTCATAGGAAAACGTATACTTTTAACTTTAAAAAGTTTAAAGTTAATGTAAAGTATGGTCACTTTCATTTTAAAAGTTAAAGTTTAAAGTGCACTACTTTAACTTTAATCTTAAACAAAAGTTAAAGTGCCACCCCTACTTCCACTACAGTCTAATTGTATACAAACTGTGCTGCAGCTGTAGTCTGGATAGATTCCAGCTATACTCCAACTGTACTCCAGCTGTACTCCAATTTTTTTTTTGGAGTAGAGTGTGTCTCGCTTTTCCCCCCATTGGTTCTGGCGCAGCCCGCAGCGAAGCCGCGGGTACCTTACTAGTAAATATATAATATCATTGAGACGATGCGTTTGTAAAGAGAGTTAGAGTTTTTTAGATTTTCTATCAGTAAAATTTTGTATCAAGACATTACTAAAAATAATTACGAAACATTTAGCATGGAGATGTTTAAAACACAATATTTTTAAATGATTAATCTTACAATGTCTAAAGATAATTACAAGTTTGTACAATGACTATGATAAGACACATAAAAATATGGATTTGATGAAGTTCCCTTTTTAGGTTAGTTTCAATTACATTTTGAATTGAGACATGAGAAATTCCAAGACTTCTCAAACTGGTTCGAACTTTCTTGAAATAAAGACTATACGTTTCAAACTAGTCTTAGAGAAACTCCTCATTTATGCTTTTTGCATGCTTAAGAATAGAGATGTTTTCAAAAATTGGTTGAATTTACTCAACAGAAGTACTTATGAAATCAGTATAAAGAAATTCATAAGCCTAAATATCTATTGATTAATCTCATTTTATTTTTACAATAGTAATAGCTCTATCGTATGTCATCTATTAACTCTACAGAACTTATGCAAATAATTTTTATTAATTCAACGAATCCATAATCGAATATCAGATTTAAATATCTGGTCTCTGCTAATAATACATGTTGATGGTAAATGGTCTTTTAACCAAATAATAATTTCATCGTCGTTTTCTCTATTTTTATCATTTTCACATGCAATAATTAAAGTATGGAGTTTAGTCATATTATTCAATATGATAAGTGATATTTGATGATTTTGAATAGGAATTGAAAGAATTTCACATTGACTGCTTAATAATGAATGACTTATTTCCATACAATCTTTATCATTGAAATAATAATTATTTACTCGTAAAATAAGTCTACGGATTGATTTATTTCGAAGATTAAGTGGTGGCATCATCTGCATAAATGAACTTGAAAAAAAAGTTAATGAATATAGACAAGGTGTATGATTAACTAATGATTGTAATTGAGATTCAATATTATAATAATAATGCATAAAAATAACCATTGAAGTTAATCGATCTAATTTTGGTACGAAAGACCAAAAATGATTATTAATGGGAAACTCAACATATAAATTCTGAAGATTAAAAAATTGAATAGGAGATGAAACAATTTGTTCAACTGCTGATGTGTCATAGTCAAGTTCATCTACATAATTGTACTTCATATAATTATTATCATTAGGAGTAGTTGATTTAAATTTCATCGAGTAATTAAAACGAAAATGCTTAAAACTATATGGTAATGTATACAAATAAATAGGACTAAAAGTGTTATTTGGATTCCAATGACATCGAACAAACCACTTATGTTCTTCAAGCCAAAATGAACTTCGAAATGAATCAATTAATTCATCTATTCTTTGTTCACGATTCTTCTCATCAATTAAATTAAATTTCATTCTAAATCGAAATATTTGAAGATTAGGTAGATAATGATGAATAATTTTTTCCCATTGATTACCATACGAAATTCTATTTGTATGATCTTCATTAAAACAAGATATATCAATAATTAATTCATATAAATTTGGCATGTTTTGTAAGAATTTGATGATTTTATTTTCGTCTATTCGAGATAATGAAAGTTTTAATTTAGTAATTGATAAAAATGGATATTTTACATAATTATTATTATCATTTGAATTAACATTAAGTAAGATAGAAAATTTTTCTAGATGAGGTGTTTTTTTAATTAAAGCATTGATTTCATTTTGACTACATTCAGTACCCCAAATGAATACATATTTCAATGATTTTGACATTACTGTTGGTATAAAAATGTTATCTTCATTGACATTAATATTTAAATAACAATAGACCAATTTTGATAAACTCCAAATACTATTAATTAATTGTTGAGCATTAATTCGATCGAATCGAAAATAACAACCAACAAGAGTTAAATGTGTTAAATTTTCAAGATATTTCCATTCTAACATAAATTTATTCATTATCTTATCAGAAGAAAGATCCCTAATAGATAAAGATTTTAAATTAATAAATTGAGATATAGTTAAATTATGTTCAAGAAAACAATTGATTTCATGTGGTGTATCGTCATCATTTGAAAGACTTAAAGAACTTATGTAATCGACCATTGTTGGAAGATATTCACGACAAATAAGATTAAAATCATATTGAGATATTGATTGAAATTTCAGATCGAACGATTGAAAATGAATCAAGATTAAATTATTCAATCGAAAATTAAGGTTATAAAATGCCCGAAGTAGATCAACAGCAGGAAGATATTCAAATATATCAAGTAATAATTCATTACATAACGATTCCAAATTCATCAACTATTGTTTTTAAAAATGGTATACTACGAAAGAGTTCTAAAATAACAGTATAACATAAATAATAGTACTACTACTATTCTCAAATAATATAAATAAATATTATTTTTATGTCAATACAAAATTCATGAAACATCAAATTTTGATATTTCTCTTTCTAGTATCGTGAAATAACTCATATGATAATCTTGCGCAATAACTCTACGTTTGTTAATCAAACAAGTTTTCTTTTTCAGTGTTCTCTTACGACAATCGCAACAATAAAAAACGTGACGAAAAAAGCGTTTTATGCACTCAACACTTATACGCTGTGTGTAGCTTACACGTATGTTTCTTTGAAAACAAAAATAACGCATTTATATTAGTTTATTGAATTCACAAAAAAAACTTTCAAATTTTTTATGTAACACTGTCGAGTCCATTATGAATATTTATAACAAACTTACGGGAATCTTTCTTATCTAAAAGACATTAGTTTTGGTGTATTGGGAAAATGACTAACGGAAAAATGTTGATAAGTAAATATGGAGGGCAAAGAATATCAAAGTAGAAAAATATTTCAAAATATGATTTATCCAGTAATTGGTGACTCTAATTACGTATAGTTTATTGCGGATTTTCTTATAATTTTACTAGTATAGAGTTTTAATCAGTAGCAATGGTTATTACTAATATCCGATTTAAATTCAATGAAGAAATTCAATGAAGAGCTATTATCTAACTAAAATTTTATTGTCATGCCTCCAGCTATTGCATGTTCAACTAATGTGACTCAACTAAAATCTCTATCTATTCCATTCGGAAATTTACATAAAAAAAATCGTTATCCATTGCAGATGAATACATTTTTAGATTGAAGAAAAACAACAACAACAACTACTAAATATTAGACGTGCAAACTTAATGCATATTCAGCTAAATTCGTGAAAAAATCACACAACGAAATAGGACCTACTTTAGGTATGTTTTAGTTAGTATTATGACTCATGTCGCTACCTTTTTACAAAACTCGTCCGAGTTAGGAATAACTTTGGTGTATTGGTCGTACCCAATACATTTATCAGGAATAACAGTTATTGCAATACAGATAAACGCAATTGCATTGTAGCAATTGTACCATATGATCAACTGCAGCTGATAATGACCAATTATAAGCAATTTCTCCTTAATGATGATTGGTCACACTCCAGCGCTACAGCTTAACTCCGTAGACACTGTATCAAAACTTTTGCTATTTACAATTCTCTCAAACATTCAACTCACCATTACGGTCCACCGGTTTGTTTTCGATTTAGAGGTTTTCATTTTTGAATACGCATTGTAGTGTCCTCTATCAGGTGTAGCAAGAATCAGAACAGTGCCAACTCGTTTAAGTCTAATTTTGTAAATTTCTTTTTTTTAAATAAAGTCTCTATATTTCTAAGTCTATATCTTATTTATTAATTCTAGAAGTATTTCCTAAAAATAGCTATTTATATTTATATTTCATGCACGACAAATCGTAATCTGTGATAAATTCAATTGAGCAAAAAAGAAAAAAGTGTAGGTTTCATTGTTTTCTGTTACATCCTATGAAATCTATTATAACTAATTACTTTCACTAAAAACGCAACAGAAAAGAAAACATCTGCAAAAATTTAGTCATATAACATTAGTAGGTTTTGAATGGAGCTGTTGATGAAAAAAGAAATGAATATCTACACCTATATCCACCACATATAAATTTAAAATATAATTGATATATTGACAACGGTGTCTAATGTTTCTTTCAAAAATTAAATTGTATCCGTTTTCAGAGAATGTCCACGACAAGACCGAGGATCATTCGAGTATACAAGACACTGATCAAAATTTAGATTTTTGATTTTTTATGTGCGTTTGACAGGGCTTTCTCTGAAACCATCAAACTCAAATTTTCAGCTGATTTGGATTTGCTATAGTAAACTTAGTCAATACATTGATGAAAAATATCACAATTTATAAGTTCAAAACAGTCGACTTTTGACAATATATCAGCTGCCAGCTTTTGAAATCAAAAGACTCCAAAGTGGACTTCACATATGTTATGTAGCTTTTCCATTCTTTAAAAAATGATAAAAAATGTCAAATAAAAAGAAACGTAACTAGTTTAGTGATATTCGGTTGACCAGATATGACTGCGAGTAAGAACGGTTATGACATACGGAATCACCACCATAAACTGGATTCAATCAAGTCAACTCTAGTGAAATTTTTTTCTATGAAAAACTGCCCCTGGAGAACCATGGGGCAGAATTTTAATAAAAAACAGCCATGGGGACCACAGGTAATGTGGCTCAGAAAAGGCTTCATTAGAGTTTTTTCAATTGGATGCAGTTTCTGGTGGTGACCGTTCTTACTCGCAGTCGTATCTTGTCAACCGAATATTACTACATTAGTTACGTTTCTTTGGAAGAATCATCGAAAATCGCTATGTTAGAGAAAAATCTTAACATTGTTGTGCCTCGAAGGTGAACTTTTTTATTTGACATTTTTTTATCATTTTGTAAAGACTGGAAAAGCTACATACCATGTATGAAGTCCACTTTGAAGTCTTTTGATTTCAAAAGCTGGCAGCTGATATATTGTCAAAAAGTCGACTGTTTTAAACTCATAAACTGTGATATTTCTCATCAATGTTCCCCTATAAAATCTTAGTGAACAGATCTCTATCTTTTATCATATTGAATGGAAAAAAATATATGACTTATTGAAGCATAATCCTAGTCAACATTTATGCAAGAATTTTAGTCTATTTTTTTCATGATGAAGTTACAGTACTCAGAAGTCGGTATTGATTAAGTTTACTATAGTAAATCCAAATCAGCTGAATATTGAAGTTTGATGGTTTCAGACGAAACCCTGTCGAACGCACATAAAAAATCAAAAATCTAAATTTTGATCAGTACTTCAGTTCCTGGGTGCTTTTGCGGGCGCTCTCTTAAAAAACTTATTCGTATGCTTAACTAATCTGGAAAAATTATCTGTCCATCAAACAGATAATATTATAAACAAGTAGAAAATCATTTATTACATACGATTGATTTTCATGAATTACTAGTATTCATTTACTATTACCTAAATTTGGTGTGAATCTATAGGTTGCGAACATGGGGATGTAACTGCTCACTTCTTTTTATATCAACACTCTCACAGCTACAGTCATCTTGTATAAAAAAACGCAATGAGGTATCATCTGAAAATATGGATTCGGATCTACGAAATGAGCTAGATTCAAATTTTAAATTTACTCTATACAACTGGATTATATGTATAGGCATATGGCAAAGAACGAACATCTCATATTTCGTTAAAGAATACAATGCGATTATAGACACATCAATATTCGGAGATGCGCACTTTTTTTATGTTCGATTTATACACCAATTTCATTTATTGAGCATCAAAAACAAAACAATAAAATAAATATTAAAAAGCTGAATTAATGAATAAGAGAAAGAAAATGAAAATATCTGCTTTTCATGAGACCATTTGTTTTGAAATAGTGCGATATGATGATGCTTATGATTTTCCTGCATACAACCAAAATAATGTATCTAAATGAATTTTTTGACATCGTTTGAATCAAAACGACATACCACCTTATTTTTCATGGTTCTTATCAACTATTTTCTAACTTCTAAGTGTGCATGTTGAGTTTTAAGTGTAGTAGTAAGTCACATGATCGATAAACTGCCTTTGTATTAGGTACTCTTCGTATATTTTCTAAGCTTCATGTGTACCTGAGGGTGTGGGTGTGGGTGGATGTGACTGTGAGTATGGATTTATTTCCTATTTTAGCACCCCATACCCACATCCACACCCACACCCACACCCAACAATTTTTTACAGCAGGTCATACGTGACACTCTTCGAAAACCATTATGAGTATGAAAGTGAGTACATTGAACCTTTTTATCAGCTATCTTGTTATTAAAATTGACTCTCTTGTTTTTTTTTTTGTTTCTCAAAAATATATCAGAATGAGTGTTTAGAAAGTGACACAAATAGATTCAGAAGCGTAACTCACAACTAACGATGGGGAAGGCGTAGAGGGAGCGCTGGATTGGCGAATTTCAACAGCAGGAAATCGTTGCGCCCTACACTCCTCTCCCAGTCTGTTTAAGCCCCTGTGAATAATCAAGATTTTTAGTTCCTTTTTCGTTTTGGTGTTCTGTTTTCTCTGTATGTGCATTATCTGATTGGTCTATTTCTATTGAACAATGACAATTTTTGTCTTCAAACAAGGAACACTGTTCGAAAAGCTAGAAAAAAAAACATTAATTAGATTCATTCAAAATGCTAATGATATAACTATAACATGTCACTTCTCCTTTCACTTAACACAACTGAGAACATCTAACAGTGTAAACGAGAGTAAATGATCATCCAATTTTGAATAATTAAGACACTTGAAGAATTTACTTTTGGATAAATTATTAGTGTAATTTGCTAATGCAGTCAGTCTTTTGTCTCATATTTGTCTGAGTTAAATAAATAAGTCTTCAAGATTTTTCAATCTTTTAGTTAGATTTTATACTGACCAGTAATAATTAACGCATACTTAGATGTCTACCGTAAATTATAGGAGTCCACTTTAAAACAAAGAAATCTATTTCATACTTTGTTTCCAATAAAATGATGAGATATATTTTATGTCTATTTTAATCAATTTCCACTTCTTGACTAGTAACTTATATCGACGGTTGATAGAAGTGAAATATGTGTATGTCGTCTACAAAGAGAAGAAAGCAAAAAGTTAGTTGAGCAGTTAGAAAGCTCAGTTTATAGGTTATCATCCATTCACTGATGAAATATTACACAAGATGTAGCTCCTTTTTTTTAAGCGACAATTGCAGTCAACAAATGATATTTCGACGTACATGATGAGAATATATATTCATGCGTTGTACGTGCGATATGACTATAAGATCTAACTGACAATGCTGTTTGAATTAAATGGAAACAAGTACGCGCATCAT